TGTTATCACTGATAACAGGTCGGTTGCCGATTCGTCGGTCTACGACTCAATTTCAACTATCCCTCTACACTCAACCTAAAAGGCTTTAGCCCTGGTGATTTCGTGGTTTTATTAAGGTTTCACCCACACTTTTATTGAATGGCCATTTAACAAAGGTGCTGAGTATTTAATTAAGGTTGGTTGGAAAGGAGGTTTGTGGCTTGCATGGCTAAAGCGAGGGGTATGAGTGTCGAAGGTGGTTGGGGTTGACTTCGTGTAGTGTGTGGGTTGTTGATTTGGTTCGTTGATGTGATGACAGGTATATGTTGTGAAGCAGATTCTGAATCTGGTTGCCTACGATCACACTTATACATATTATTGTGAGAAACCCCAGTGAGACCGTGAAAAAGTGATCGTCACATACTTAACCCTTATATATGTATACGTGGGTATACTTGGGATGAATGTTTGCATGGGTTGAAGAGCTCCCACATTAGAGCCCCATTCAGAAGCTGAGACTGAGGGGCTTAGAGGAGGTCTCTCCTTTTATTCTTGTCTCTTGCTTTTTGATGATTTTCTTAGTCGGATATTTGGTCCTGAGCCGGGATTCGAGGTCCTTGTCCAGGACATCCCAAGCCCTAAGCTCTGCAAGGGAGGGGTTTTTCCTCGCGCAGAGCCTATTTGATTTACCTACCGGGACACTCAGGTCGAGAGCCTAAGGTGCAGCGGCGGTTGCACGACTTTTCCTTCAGCCGTGCAATGTCGTGAAGGGTTAGGCCCTCACGACACTTCAAGTCTGACACTTGAGTGTCATAAGCGGTACTCGGATCCACGAGGGATCGCTTGATTATGGGCACTACATAGTACGTCATCGTTGCGACTGCTTGTGTATGCCTGCATTGCAAGTCGATATGAGTATGCCCTGCGTCCGCGCGGTTTTATACTAAGTTCAACGTGTGACGCCTATCCGATTTCCGCACTGGAAAGTTATGGGTTGGCTTCTGAGGGACTAGGAGCGTTGTCGCGTTGTTGGTATTGTGTCGTTTCGTATTTATGTTGTTTTGTGTGTATGTGTATTTGTAAAGCGGAGTGCGCGTGATGTGTGTGGGATGCGTCCTAGTCGACCGACGATGAGTTACGCCTAGGACCTCAGCCCCCCCAAGATGTCGGTTCGCGTGCGGGTCCGATAGAGGCGTATTACCGCGCGTACCCCCTATGCTACAGCGAACGAGAAACGTCCTCGGCTGGTCCACCTCTGCGATTGCAACTGATTAATTTTCGTACTGTGGACTGGTAGCTCGGAGGGGATATGCCCACCGAAGGGAGGTGACAGCTCCCGTAAGGTGTAGGTAAGTTGTGCCTCGCGTATGCCCTATCCTGTCGTAGGGGCTCGCGAGAGGTATGTCTGGCGCACCCGGCTGGAGCAGCTTGCGGAAGCTCCATGTATATTGCGACGAAGGGTTATGAAATCCAACTCCTGCGTGATGCGGCCGGGAGGGTCCCGCGCTGCCCCCGTGCGGTGCCGGACCGATGCGCCCGACAGGTGGCGCCGTTGCCGGGGATAGGAAAGCCTACCGTTGTCCCTGGTGGAACGACATCCGGGTATGAGAAGTGAATAAGAAAAGGCATAAAGAAATGATGAGAAGGTAATGAAGGAATATATGAATGACTAAGTGTAGGTGAGGAAATTTACCTACCCAAGTAGAGGAAGTATGAGGGACGATTGTGTTAACAGTGGGTAAAGTAAGTACTAAGGGTTAGGTAGGACGAATGGAATAAACCGGTCAAGGTATAATGTTGAATAAGGAGATGTACTTGTTTTATTTTGCAAGGGAACTTAAAAAGAAAAGGCTGTCAAGATGCCTGAGACTGGCGGCGCATCAGTTGTTCCCAAGAAGGGCCTGACACTCGATGACCTCATCGCGGCCATCGACCGACATGAAATGAACCCGAGCAACATCCCAAAGGTCGATACTTTTCATTTCTGTGGGGAGAGAGTCTCAGAATGGCTAGAGCGGGTGGAACAAGCTTTGGTCGGGCGGCCGGATGTTGTAAAGTTTCAACGCATCCTTCAATTGTCCTCCACAGCTACCATCAAGAGGTGAAGAAAGTCATAGATGCGGCTCAAGGTAGCTGGGAGAGGTTCAAGGAGGGGATGCAGAGGAAATACCGCCTGGGAGACGGGTTGTTGACTACCACGGACCTTGAAGCGATGAACAAAGAGGATTTTACGACTATAGGGGCCTTTGTTCAAGAATTTAAGAAGAGGGCGCGGAAGGTCCATGGGATTTCGGAGGAAGCACAGTGCGCCATCTTCCTGGGGCTACTCACAGTATCGGAGGCCGTCGAATTGACGAGACATGGAGGAGGTAGCACTAAGCTCACTTGGGCCACCATTGACAGAGGGGTGGAAGTTGGGTGCTTGGACCAGGTGGAACAACGTCAGGTACGCCTGCAAAGACAGAAGAGAGAGGAAAGAGATGCGACCGCTTCTGGAACCCCGGGAGTAACAAGGATTGTTACAGACGTATTGGCACAGCTAGGGTATGCGATAGAGCCAGTGGTGCAAAGAAGGGTGGTGACGGCTGTCAAAGTAAAAGGAAAAGAGCCAGTGATAGAGGAGGCTGGCCAGGAGGAGCTCTGGGAAGAGGAAGAGCCGGTGCCGCAACACCTGACAAAGGTCTAGCGCAAAGTGCGTAATTTGGCGCAGGGCGGACAGGGATCAGGAAAAGCGCAGGCGCCTCAAACCCAGGCAGCAGCCCCTTTAAATGTGGCGGCTCCATTATCTAGTACGGGCCCTTCGCAAGGTGGGGCGCCCTCCTATGGACAGTGACCCTTGCCGGTGATCAACGCAATTGTGCCATGGGGAAGTACGCCGCCAGTAGCCGGACCGCAAACGAGTATGCCACCACCCATCTRCCCCGCGGCCCAGGCCCAACCTGTGGCCCCGCCACCGTCACCTGATCCCAGTTCACAGGGCAGTGTTGTAGGGGGTGGGAACCAGGGGCAGGGCAATCAAGGCAATGAAGGGAGGGGT